CTTTCCAGTGGACAGTCAAATTTTGGCAAACTATATAATGTCATGGCCACCCCCACAGATGAGGCTGAGCCGTCCTGTCACCCCCAAAAGTTCTCAGGCTCTGTCTGTGGTCACCTCCTACCCAACCCCTGGCAACCACTCATCTATTCACCCTTGTACAAGGGGACTTCTCAAAGTTAATGGGAGCCCAGTAGACGGTGTGATAGTTAAGGCACTGGACTTCCAGTGGCTGATCGAGGTTCGAGGCCTGGACCTGGTAGTTTGTTTTCTCTCTCTCTCTTGTTAAAAAAAGATGATACATAAAATTAAATACATAATTCTTTATTTAAAAGTTAGTGGGTGAGTCCAGCAGATGGAATACTGGAATCCCATGTAATCGACCACAGTTTGGGTCTCAGACCCAGCAGCTTAAAACTCTCACCAGGCACATGTGCATACATGCCCACAATCCCAAAAGGATAATGGAGGAGAAGGGATTGCAGTGTGGCCATCCCCCTGGGGGATGATTGTTCACTTTTAGTCTCTATGTGTGTCTCTGCTGAGTGCATACATCCTATAGCAAAAATCTCACTAAAACAAAAAAAACAGAATAAGAAAAAAATAACTCATGCCAGGCTTGTGTGCGTACATGCCCAAAATCCTGAGAGGAGAACGGAGGAGAAGGGATTGTGGCGTAGCTAACCCCAGGGGGGTTGATTTGTCACTTTCTGTCTCTCTGTTTCTCTCTGTCTCTCCGGTAAGTACACGTGTCCTATACCAAAATCTCTCCTAAAAAAAAAAAAAAGTGGAAAACAGGCCAAAATCTCTCCTAAAAAAAAAAAAAAAAAACGTGGGAAATAGAATTCAAGTACAAATGCATTTTTGTGCAAGAGCATTTTCAAATCCATACATCGTTTTTTTCATCATGCACAGTTTCCATGAGCTTTTTAAAGCCCCTCCTCATACTTTTGCCCCTTCAGAATGACATATGATAGGAGCTAACCTTTTCAGCCTGGCTTCTTAGAGTGTATTCGAGACTCGTCCTGTAACTGTGAAAGAGGACTCCCTCTTGTTGCTAACGGGTGTGCCCTCATGTCAGTGCTCCACAGTCCCTCTGTCCTCCAGCTGAAACAAGGACATTCGGGTTTCCAGTTTGGGGTGGACACAGACAAAGGCTACAAACGTTTGCATTCAAGTCATTGAGTTTTCATTTTCCATGGACTGCCCAGGAGTAGGATTGCCAGGGTGTGTGGTCAGTGTGTACTTCACTTACAGGACGCTGCCGTGAGGTTGTCCAAATGGCTGGACCGTTTGCAGTCCCATCAGTCATGTAGGGGAGTTCTGGTTGCTACATATTTAGGTCGACACTTTAGAGACTAAGTTTTAAGAGAGTACTCTGTTCAAACTCACTGCCTCTCCTGCAGCAGCATTTGGGGTGCTCTGGGGAGGTTCTGGAGAGATAGAAAGCGGGGACATGGGTATTAAGGGGCCTGAAGACCCCTCCCTCCTTGCCAAGGACCAAAAGCCTAAAGTCCAGCCTGAGGGCTGCCTGGACACAGAGCCAGGCTCCCTCTGTTGACTGTGTGTTTTCTGGACACCCAGTGCATGCCTGAGACCAACAGGAACAGAGAGACTCCTGGTCCCTGTCTTCGGGGAATCGGTGACCTTGTTCTGAGGGAAAACGAGCCACGCACAGTCCCAGCGCAGCAAGGTGGTGTTTGGCGAGACAGCCACGCCTCTCCTCCTTCTGAGGGCTGCGCTGTTCGTGAGGAGAGGGGCCAGGACAGATCAGGAATAGTGACCGAGGCTAGGTCACAAGGGGAAGATCCATGGAAAAGACAGTTCATGTGATGACTCCCGCCAGAACTTCCTTTGACAAGCAACATCTAAGCTCTCAGTCCTGGTCCAGCTCAGGGGTCACCAGAGATCAGGGTGCAGAGGGTACAGTTAGCATTTCCAGCCCTCCCTGCTACCACCTGAGCCAGAATGGGGAGATGCGGAGGGCGAGATAAATAACTTATTGCCTGAGGTCACCCTGCAGCCTGGGGTCAGAGCTGTGGGTAAGCTGAGTCATCTCCTGCAGGATCACAGGTGGGTAGCTGCTACAGGGGCCCTGCCAAGACTAACAAGATGGGGACCAGCAGTTGGAGTAATGGCTATGTCACTGGACTCCCATGTAGTCGACCACAGTTCAAGTCTTGGACCCGGTGGCTTAAACTCACGCTGGGGGTGTGTGCGTGCGTGCCCAAGATCCCAAGAGGAGAACGGAGGAGAAGGGATTACAGCGTGGCCATCCCCCCTGGGGGGGTGATTTCTTGCTTTCTGTCTCTCTGTCTCTCCCTGGCGAGCGCATACACCCTATAGCAAAAACACCTCAAAAAAAAAAAAAAGACTAACAAGATGTCCTGTCTCTCTATCTGTCCGTCTGTCCAGGTGCAAGTTCTTCAGTCTGACGGAGACGCCGGAGGATTACACCATCATTGTTGATGAGGAGGGGTTCCTAGGTATGTGCTTCTGTGACTGCAGCACAGTGTCCCGAGCTCTGGGTGCCCGCCTCCGCATTTCCGCCCTACCTGCTGGTCCGCTCAGAAGTCAGCCGAGGCTGTTTCCCCCCTCCCTATATCCTGGAGGGTCCCCTCCTTTCTGCTGTCAAGACCTCCCTAAAGAAAGGCTCCAGAGCTAACAGGTCAGTTAGGCAGGGTCAACCAGCCGAGGTGACAGCAGTGAAGGGGAGAAAGCAACTGTGTTTGTGGACGGAGCCCCTGCTGTGAGCAAGGCGCTTTCCGTCCTCTGTCCTCAGCCGTTCTTGCTGGGAGCAGCCCCAGTGACAGTCCCTTTATTACTTCCATTGGCTTTTTCCTGCTTTTGAATTGAGATATCATTCAGGTATCATACACCCCATCATTTTTGGTCCAGGCAGTAGCACGGTGGTTAAGACAGCTGGATCCCACATGGCCGACTGAGCAGTTCAAGTCCTGGGCCTGGCAGCTTAAAAATCATGCCAGGCACATGTTGTGTGCTTGCCGAGACTCCCAAGAGAAGGGATTGCCACATTGCTCACTTTCCCCCTCTCTCTGGTGTGCACATGTGCCCTAAGACAAAAACCAAGTGTACAGTTCAGTGGCTTTTTTTTTGTTCCCTATAGGGCATGTGTGCTCACCAGAGAGACAGAGACAGAGAGAACAGAGAGAGCGAGAAAGTGAGAAATCCCCCCCCCAAGGGTGGATAGGAACGCATGCACACACACCCGGCATAAGTTTCACACCTCCGGGTCTGGACCTCAAACCGCGGTTGGCCATGTGGAAGTCTAGCCGCTTAACCACTATGCCACCTGCTGGCCCCAGTGACTTCTTTTATATCTGTAGGTTATATTACACAACCATCACTACTTTCTGATCCCAGAACATTTTCATCATCCCACACAGAAATCCAGGGCCCATTAGCAGTCACCCCTTATTTCCCCCCTAAGCCCATCCCAGAGCCTGTAAGTTTTCTTATTAAAGTATGTGTATTAATTTGGGGGGCCAGCAGGTGGTGTGATGATTAAGGCACTGGACTCCCACATGGGAGTCCTGTCCAATAAAAACATAGGAAAAAAGTCAATAGAAGTAATAAAAGAATTACCACTAGGGCTTCTCCCAGCAGGAACAAAGACTGAGGATTGAGCTGCCCATGGTTCAAGTCCTGGACCTGACAGCTTGCTTTCTCAGTCTCTCTCTCTTTCTCTCTGTCTTTCTCTATCTCTCTGGTCAAATAAATAAATGGGTAAAATTCAATAAATAATTCTTTAAAAAAAAAAAAAAAGAAAACATGTCTTAAGTTTATCCTGTTCTAAAAGGACAGCTAACATTAGTGGAGCACTGGCTGGGCTGCAAACACCTGCTAACCGATAGACACTGATTATGGGGAGGTGTTATTATCTGCAGCTCGTCGGTGAGGGTAGGGAGAAGTTATCTTCCCGGCTCCACAGGCAGCTTAAAGCCGATGTTTGCTCTGAACCACTAAGTTACAGTCTTAAAACTTGCAGAGAATGCAACCGATTAGACCGCTTCAAAAACCACAGCCCCACCCCCGGGACATCTATTAGGAACTTTTTAGTGTCACTGTCCTAAACTGTTGCCTGTGCACAGATTGTTTCTTTTTTAATGTACTGATGCTCACATCCTGCAGAGCAATGTCTCACTTAACTTTGTAACCGCACACTTGCATGTTGTTAGAAGCTAGCAGACCTGGTGGGTAAATACAGTCTGCTGCTTCCGTCCAATTTCCTACGTTACACTTGAAGTTGGTTTAATTTTTTTCAGATGATAAACTGCTTAAAAGCATAAAATGTATTCACATTCAGGTTGATTTCTAAAACCTAAAAATGGAGTCTGAGGAATGGACTCTAGGGTTGGAAGCTGACCATTTGATGGTTCTCTGTCAGGGTTGGAGCAGTTCTCTCAGACCCCTTACACAGTGAGAAGATGACGCCCCGAGGAAGCGACTTCCCGAGCTACACATGCCCTGGGGCACAGAGCTGGTGGGGGGCTGGGCCTGGTCCCAGCATGGCCAGAGCGGGGATGGGGCTTCCTGCCCCGTGGCAAAGGGAGAGGGTGTACGCAGGTCACCTCCAGGGAGGCCCTGCCCCATCAAAGGTGCCCATCTAGCCATTCACCCACTCACTCTTTCTCACTCTCACTCACTCACTTGCTCATTTCCTTGTTCGTTCATTCAGCAGACACCTGTGCGCACAGGAGCCAGAGTTAGAGACTTTTTTTTTTTAAGAATTAATTATTTTATTTGTTTGTTTGTTTGTTTTATTTGACCAGAGAAAGAGATAGAGGGACAGTGAGAAAGCCAGCTGCCAGGCCCAGCCCTTGAGCCATGGTTGGCCATGTAGAAGTCCAGCGCCTTAACCACCACCCTACCTGCCAGCCCCCAGAGTCAGGAACTTTTGCCTTCCTCAGAAAGCACAAGTCACAGGAGGACTGTATATTGGAGCAACCTAAACATATTTTCAATTTCTTTTTAAAAAAATTTTTTTCCAGACAGCACATGTGTTCACCAGAGAGAAAGAGAAGAAACCACCCCCATAGGGAAAGGCCATGCCTCAATCCCTTCTCCTCTATCTCTCCCTCCTTTTAGGATTCGGGGCAGCACACACATGTACCTGGCATGTTTATCAAACCATTGGGTCCAGGACTCAAAGTATGTCGTCGGCCATGGGAGATCCAGCCACCTTAACCACTGACCCCCATTTTCATTTTCTCACAGACACTCATATACCCTTACATAGAACACCCTAGACATAAAAGGAGCCTCCTAGCAGGTCTGCCCTGGGAGTGGGTCATGTCCTCTGGGGGTAGATACTCTACTGAATTCGCCTCCCAAGATGAGACGCTACCTGTGTGGGCGGCAGATGCAAGAGCGCTAGAGCGGGAGAAGGGAGGCTGTGGGCCCTGGCGCCTGCTGTGCAGGCTGGAGGGCTGTGTTTGCAGGAATCGTCGGTGACCAGGGCCATGTCCTGCAGCTGAGCCACCGAGTCTGGAGCCCCAGGCGTCACAGCAAGCAGCATTTACTGAGCACCTGCTATGCTCTGGCCTTGCACGTGCGGCCTGGAGATGAGTCGGGAATGAGAGACTCCGTGAGCCTCAGGGCCTGTTGGCTGATACACCATTAATCACAGAGCTGCTTAGTGGTGGGTACCTTGCTAGAGGGGTTCGGGTACTGTGAGCATGTGTCACAATGCCACCATGCAGGAGACCTTGTAGGACGGGCCCTTGGAGCAGGAAGCAGGAACAGAAAATACAGAACTCAGCCTGCTGGCTCAGCACGTAGTGACCTTTCACCCGTGCCGAGAGCGCTTCTGGCCTCAGACGCTGCACTCAGCCCTGGAACCGGCTGTCTCATCCTCGGCCCGCAGGTGAGGAGAGACCAGAAAGGTGGCATGACCTGCCAAGGCCTCACAGCTGCTGTCATTACAGATGCCTCATGAGCCAGGCCCTGGCAGGGCAGGCAGACAGGGAGGCGACTCCCAGAGGACAGAGACACAGGAACCAAAAGTGCAGTATCAAGAGTGGCACCTAGCCTGGCTGGCGGGAGCATAGTCTGAGAGGGCTTCCTGGAGGAGGCAGTGGTTGAGCTGAACCCAAGTGAAAGAGTAAAAAGCACAGTTGAGCTGAACCCAAGTGAAAGAGTAAAAATTTTAGAAGACCAGATGGAGACCATTCAGGGAAGGGGACTTTCCAGGCAGAGGGGCTACATGTGTGATAGGCGCTTGGGAATAGGCGCTCACTTGGCATACCCAGGGAACTGGAGTGTGAGGAGGTGGGCAGGAGGAGGCGGTGGAGTGGGGAGGGGAGTGGAGAGGGCCGGCAAGGAGGACAAAGAGGGAATCAGAAAAGACCCTGGGGGCAGGGACTGGCAGCTGGCGTGGTGGTTAAGGGCGCTGGACTCCCACATGGCTGACCATGGTTCTGTCCCAGACCTGGCAGCTTGCCCTCTCCCTCTCTGGTCAAATTAAAATAAATAAATGGATAAATAAGGTTTAAAAAAATTCTTTAAGAAAGAAAAAGACCCTGGGTGCAGGCCCTGTAGACTCATGGTTAAGGGTGCCTGAACCCATGGGGCCAGCTGGTGGCATAGTGATTAAGGCACTGGACTCCCATATGGCTGACTGTGGTTTGAGTCCTGGACCTGGCCCTCTGGGGGCTTGAAGCAAGAGGTTTCTGGTGTGATCAGGGAAGGCTTCCTGGAAGAGGTGGAATTTTTGCTGGCCTGAAGGGCCAAGGAGGGTTGGGGAGGCCTGGGAAGGGAGAGAGCATGGTAGGTTGGGGTGCCTAAAGTGAGTACAGTAGAAGCTAGGCCACATCCAGCTCTCCCCCAGAAGTACAAAGTCAGAGGTTCTAACTGAAGAGGCGAGTGAGGCAAGTTTGCCTTACTGTGTAGGCAGTGGGGAGCCCTCGAAGGTTGTTGACCCAGAACAGCCATCATCGGGGTTGGACATATGTAGTTTCTTAGGTCATGTGTGCAGGGCAGGAAATGAGTGTAAGGCAGGGTCCTCTCTGGAGGTGAAGAAGCGGGCTCTGTCTAAATTGAGGTATCTAGGCCCAGCCGAGACCCTCCAGCTGGCCCAGGGAGGGAATTACCTCAACCTTGCCAGTCCCTAGCGTGACTAATGGTGACCCCGTAACTCTTGGAGCTGCCGTGCCCTGCAGTCCTTTCCCAGTGGCAGGAACAGAGCTTATGAAGAAAGAGGCCATGGTTCAGTCCTCAGTCCAGAGAAGGCAGGAGGATGAGAAGCAGGTGTAATCACCCTAGCAGGCCTGGGAGGAGGGCCCAGCCTCTGGCTGCCCTAACTGGTTCCTGGGAAGGGTCACCCCTCCAGGGTGGCCTCTTGGGTGGCTATTGCTGTAGCAGAGAAAGCTGCGTGTGAATTGGGTAGTAAGAGCCTTTGGCACTCTGGCTGCAGAGCCTGGGGTGGGGAGGGACAGAGAAGATGCCGTGGCTCAGCTGCTCCTGA